TAAAAGTTCATCAGCATGCACTGATTAATCCCATGTTGTAGCAAAAAAAAAAAAAAAAAATCCCAACACTGTGACAACTACCCAGAACATCCAAGCACAAACAAACAACCACTCACAACACCTTAAAACCACATAGCAACACCCTAGCAACCACCCATAAAACGTTAGAAACCACATAGTAACCTGCAAACAAACACTCAACACCTTAGCAACCACCTTACCAACCCAGTCCTAGCAACCATACAGAACTCCCTTGCACCCACAAGGCAATAAACAAACACACATTAGGAACCATATGGAAACATCCTGGCAACTACCCTAAACAGCCTAGTGACCGCACAGTAACCTGCAAACATCCACTCACAATACCGTATCAACCACATAGCAACACCCTAGCAGCTAGTACACAGAACATCACATCAACTGAATAGCAACATAAATAACCACTCATAACACCTTGGGAACCACATAGCAACACTCTAACAATCCCCCAGATCACTTTAGCATAGTAACCTGCAAAAAACACAACACCTTAGAAACCACCTAGCAACAACCTAGCAACCACCCCCAACACTTAAGCGACCACAAAGTAACCTGCAAACAACAACACCTTAGAAACCACATAGCATCCAGCCACTCTAACATTTGTCATGGTAAGTTTTGCAAGGGCAACAACGATACTTTCTTCAGAAAATGTTAATATCCAATTAGCAATGTTATTAACGCCGTCTAATATCAAATACAATAATAGGTTTTATTTAATAGGTCAATAAACCAAAAGTACAATAAAATCAGAATTATGATATCAGACCTCCCATATCAAGTGTCAGCGGTCAGAGCGGGGTGTTTCCCTCACTAAACGAGCACATGTTTGTCTTCACTGACAGCGCACACACACACACTACCATCATCACAAAGTATATATAAAATGACTGTAGAATGAAATAAATATTTTGTGCAAAAAAAAAAAAAAAAGCATAGCTGATTCTACTTTATCAAAGTCACAGAGCAAGAAAGCAGCATCACACACACACACACACTATTCCTGCTATTGTTTTACCTTAGTATCCAAACAGCATGAAGGAAGGAGAGACAGAGAGAGATTACAGCAACTCTGGCTCATGCTAGGGCAGAATGTAGCTTCATAAAAATCTGTCGGGGGAATACCATATGCACACCAAACGAGATAGAGAGAAATGAAGTGAAAGAGAGGGAGTGGAGGAAAGACGGACAGGCAGAGTGAGGGAGAATGTGAGAGAAAAAGACAAGAATCACCCAACAACCAGCCTTACCTCATCCTGTGTTTAGCAGCCTGACTACTGCAACAACGAGTACCGTGAGTCTGCGATTCTACACATGTTCTTCAGACAACCCCCAAGCCCTCTCTCTCTCACATACACACACACTCACACTCAAGGATGCTGAGAGGAGGAGGGGTAAATGATGAAGAGATAGAGGAACAGGAGAATGAGATCAATAAAGAACAAAATAACACGTGTGCATTGTCTGATACTAAAGTCTACTGGGAACAAACATACATTTTCATAAGCATCCAATCAGATGAAAGAAAACATTCCAGATGAAATATGATAAAGAATTTGTTCTATGGTACAGTGGCAACACTTAACACTTGAAACTTGACTTGATCATAATCTTGACATTTGCGCTTATATACCATAAATCAAAATAAATAAATAAAATTCAGTAATTTAAGTGCTTTACGATACAACAGACCAAAAAAAAAAGCAAACCAAACCAAAACTTTCAACACCTTAACATCACAGCAACCATCCAGAACATCCAATCGCATAACAACAGCAACAAGCAAACTCGTATATCTTAGCAACGAGACTGTTATATTTTAGCAACCATACAGAACAGCCTAATAGTATAGCAGCATGCAATAATCACTCTGAACAATTTACCGTCCACACAGTAGAAAAACCCAAGCAATCACCCAGAATAACCTTGTGCAGAGGTTCTCAACTCTGGCCCACGAGATCCATTTTCCTGCAGAGTTCAGCTCCAACCCTAACCCTTTTATTTTCTTAAATGTGTGTATATATATAGTATTTATAGAGTTTTAGCTTTTAGTTTTAATTACTTTTTCTTATTTGTAAGTCGCTTTGGATAAAAGCGTCTGCTAAATGACTAAAAAGTAAAAGTAAAGTAAAGTAAAAGTAATCAGACACACCTGAACAAGCTAATCAAGGTCTTTAGGATCACTAGAAAGTTACAGGTGGGTTTGATCAAGGTTGGAGCTAAACTCTGCAGGAAAATGTGTCTCATGGGCCGGAGTTGAGAATCCCTGACCTAGTGACTACATAGAAACACTCAAACAACCACCCACAACACCTTAGTAACATTATAGCAATGCCCTGGAAACCATTCAGAATATCTTATGCTGCAATTCACGTGCTATCAGAAATTTCCTACTTCCCAGTTCTGAAGTTGTAATTATGAGTTAGTCGCGTTCAAGTGCTTTGTTGTCGAAAAGAACAGGAATCATGGAGGACGGCCCATTCATGAGTTCATTCTTGCCTATTTCTTGGGAAAATCTTATTAAAGCCAAAAGATATTTAATCAACATCCAACAGGTTCAAATGTAGCATCCCATTCATTGGTAACCATATAAACATTTACTGCACAATTAAGCTTACTGACGATTCTGATATTACGGTCAAATATACGGTATTTTTTACTGTGTTACATACAGTATGCATCAAATGGTTATTTATTTACTTAAATATATATGACTGTAATGGCAGGAGAAAGCAATGTAGATGTTGTGGGAAAAATGAATAAAACTTATCAGAACTACAACTGTATACCACTGTACAAGATGTATATCTTTCCCCTCCACCATGTTTCAAGTTTATGGCCCTCCCAACTCGGAAACTCGGGTATCAAAAAGAGTTTCCCAGTGGTAAATATGACTTGAGAGGTCGTTCATGTCAAATTTCTGACTTGGAAACTCGTATTTACGATAATTTCAATAGCATGTGAAGGTAGCGTTATTATTAGCATGACAATTTATCAATAGCAGACAGGTTGTCAAGATCCAAAAAGGTCATAAAAACACCATAGCGGTCTGGAAAACTTGTCAACAACCACTTACAACACCTTAGCAACTACATAAAGCCCAAGCAAGCATCCAGAACATCATAGTGACTACATAGTAACATGCAAACAATCACTCATGACCGCTTAAGCCTGGAATACACTACATGACTTTTGGCCCGATTTTCTCCCCATTTACAGTCTGGAGAAGTTGACGCTAGTTGCCGAAAGTCAGAGCCAGTCTGCAGATTTCAGTTGACAGGTTTCATAAAAAATCGCGTAGTGTATTATGGTCACAAACTCTGATTTTTTTTTTAGCTTCAGACTATGATTCCATCTAGTCGGAGGATATCAAACATGTTTGATATTTTGAGCCAATTTTAGAACACATATTGTTTTCATTTGTCATGCGTCTCCTAGCAACAATGCACACGCTTCTGCTTGAGTTTGTTGTGATCGGAACAACTTTAAAGTCTGGTAGTGTGTGACCCTCAGTCATTTAGTGTATGATGGACAGTTTTTCCTCTGCGACTATTGCAAAGTCGGTAAGTGTATGATGCCCAGTGTTTTAAAATCTGTTCAGATTTTAAAAGTCGTGTAGTGTATTCCAGCCTTTAGCAACAACATAGTACCATAACAATCATTCAGAAAGCCCTAGCAACCACACAGCAGCACACAAATAAACAGTCACAACACCTTAGCAATGCCAGAGCAACCACCCAAAACACCCTAGTGACTGCATAGCAACATGCTAACCACCACTCTTTGGATGTTTCTATTCAGTAGCTAGGGTGTTGTGAGTGGTAGCTTGGATGTTTCAACTTTTTTGATTGTTGAAGCATTTTGAGTGGGTGTTGCCATGTTGTTATGCAGTCACTAGGGAGTTCTGGATGGTTGCTTTTATGTTTTTGCAAATATCTTGTGACTGTGAATATTTGCGTTTTGCAGTCGGTAGGGTGCTCTAGGTGGTTACTAGTCCATTTTGTAGTTGCTAAGGTTGTTTGAGTTTTTCTAGCAACCTCTTTGCAACATGCAAACAAACACTCATAAGACCTTCGCAATGACGTAGTAATGCCCTAGCAACCACCCACAGCACCCTAGTGACTGCATAGCAACAGGATTTTAATTTTTAATTTTTTTTTAAATATTGGCAATGCATTGATGTTACTTTCCTGCCGGGACAGGTCCCCTCAGCCAGACTGAGTGGTAAAACATTCTGCAACATGACTGGCTCTAAGTCAAGTCAAGTCACCTTTAGTTGTATAGCGCTTTATACAATACTGATTATGTTAAAGCAGCTTTACAGTGTCGAACAGGAAAACAGTTTGTCAATAATGCAAGAAGGCAATAACAAAGAGTAGTTTTTCCAGCTAAAGTCAGTTCATAAAAGATTTTTATTTGAAATAAATGCTGTTCTTTTGAATTTTCTATTCAATTTCATTAAAGAATACTGAGGAAAATGTTTCCACAAAAATATGATGAATGAATGATTTCTGAAGGATCATGTGACACTGAAGTAATTGCTCCTGAAAATTAGCTTTGCATCCCAGGAATAAATTTCAATTTAAAGTATTTTAAAATAGAAAATAGTTCTTTTAAATTGTACAAATATTTCACAATATTACTGTTTTACTGTATTTTTGATCAAATAAATGCAGCCTTGGTGACCATAAGAGACTTCTTTCAAAAACATATTCAAAAAAATCTTAACGACCCCAAACTTTTGAACAGTAAAAGTGGATCATCCAATAAGACTTTAGAAAAACGTTTTATAAATATGCTTATATATTATTTGTAAGTGTTTAATTAACATTATATATAGGTATTTAAATTTACTGTGTATTTTAATTGAATTATTGAGGAAGCAAACAATTAGCAAAATATCAGATTCAATTAAATTATTATACTTATTTTAAGACCTATGTAGGGTGTCAATTTAGCTTCCATTATTAGTGAGGGAATTACTCGCCAGTTTCTTAATGGAAGTCTTTAGTCTTCACAGTGTTGCTATGACAACCACTAGTAGCCGGTTAATGAGGGATGGAAAATGACAGTGGGAGGGGCGGCAGCAGCAGAGCAGAATAAAAAGACATCACACACTCACCAGGGGACTGAGGCTTGGGAGAGACCACTGCAAACCTCTTCGGGGACGACACAATGGGTCGGGTGATTTCTCCATCCCTTTGAAACTCCTTTCTAGAGGCTGAATGAGAAACAGATATTTATATGTGTCACTATTGTGAATGAGAATTAGTTACGGTTCCTACCTATGAACACATAACACATTTAATGAAAAAATACATTTGTATTCTAAAAAATATTATTTGATTTGAATGAGTACTATCAAATCAAATAATAATTTTAATCCAAAAGCTCTGCAATCAAAATAAGTTTTATATATATATAAAAAAAAAAAGTAAATGCCTAAGGTGTCCACTAGCTGGAGCCCTTGGTTCACTCATGTTCTCTTTCCTACACTGTGACTGCAGTGTCTTCAGCATGAACAGCTATGATTATATGATATGATATGGCAGCCGCTAAAGAGCTCTTCAAGAATATTTTTTATAAAAGTATTTTTTCTAAATCACCACTTGGAAACATGTTTATATTGAACTTTCCATTCATCAAATAGTAATGAAAAAATGTATTACGGTTTCAGCAAAAATATTTAAAGCTGCAGTCCGTAACTTTTTTTGGTTAAAAATGATCCGAAATCAATATTTGAGCAAGTACATAGCCAGCCAGTGTTCAAAACTATTGCCTTACTTTAGCCGATTCACAACGGTTATCTTATAATAATGTTTTCTACTTTGAGTGGTACGGGTAGGTTTTCGCGGGAAATTCGAGCATGCTGCTGCGTCATTACTTCACTTCTGTAAATAAAGAAGTTGTCCCGGCTACTAGGCTATCGCATGTGAGGATCCTGCTGGTGGCGGATCGTTTATAGCCTTTTCTCACAGCAGTTAGAATAATTAAATGTATCATTTTGATGGCGGACAGAAAGGATTATGTGTTTATGAAACGCATGTGAATTAAATAAAATTATATTCCAGTTATAAATGTGCTTCTGATTACAGATAGCCTGGGATTACAAAGATTTGTATTTTAAACACTGAAAAAAATGTTTCATTCATCCAATTAAAAAAATTTAGGGTAATGATTCACATCTATATTTTTTAACTTGAGCCAATGAAAAATAAATAACTTGCCCTAAAAAATTTTTTAATGGGATGAATGAAACATTTTTTTCAGTGCACATAGTCACGCAATGCTGATGTTGTTAACATTAACATTAATAATTTGAGAATAAAGTATAACAATAATAATAATTTGCACGGTTTGATGTGATATGAGCTAACCAATATTTAGATTAAATCACCATAGGTAGCGCGATTTATTGTAATGCTTTTTTCCTCAGTTGGTCAGAACAAAAGTGCCAGACTTCTTACTTACTCGTTCAGATGACAATATACAGTTAAACTTCTTATTTGGGTCATATATTCCAAGAGGTATGCTAGAATCTGTGATTGCAAAGTACAGTAAATATCCACACATACTCCTCAAAACATTAGATTAATCCACGCTGGAGCTGTGCCTGAGCACAACCCAGGCAAGGAAAATAATTCCGCAAAAAATTGCAGGTTTTCAAACAGAGATGGCGACAAAGAGGGAAAACTTACGGACTGCAGCTTTAAATACAACTATTTTCAGAAATGTTTCTTGAGCAACAAATCAGCTTATCAGAATAATTTCTGAAAGATCATGTAACACTGAAGACTAGAGCAATGGCTGCTGAAAATTTAGCTTTGCATCACAGAAATAAATTACATTTTAAAATATATTCCAATGGAAAACATTTTCACATTTCACATTATTTTTGTTTTTACTGTATTTTTATCAAACAAATTTAATTCAGCTTAATTAGTACATAACGCTCATTGATATTATAGCTTATTGTTATTAAAATCATATTATAAGGAAAAATACATTTAAAAAATGAAGTGGAAAAAAAATCAATCTCCCTCTGTGTAAGCCATGAATTGTTTTTGTTCATAATTGCTAGGTTTGCTAAATCTTCTGTAACAGTCTACAGAGTGAGCATGTTATTCTATTATCATTCTAATGATGTCTTCAGCTATCAACAAGCTTCTACTTTAGTGATTTTTAACCCATATAGACTGCAGAATAATGTACATGTGTTTAGTGCAACTGATAATAGATAACTGTATTTACAATTCTGATATCCCATAATAAACAGACATCAGTAAGGTGAGAATATGTACAGACAATATTTACAACATTTCTGCAAAAATGCAGTTCATGTACATTTTTTTGCACACAGAGGTGTAAATGTGTGTGAAGTATGAATGCTGTTGTCATGGTGACAGCAGTATGCTCTGTCACTGACACACTTCTTCACGTGACTTCTGTCATGTGACTTCTGCGAGACCCAACATTGGTCACATAGTAAACGAGCTTGCAGTGGCGTCACTTACCCACGGGGGAGGCACGAGGGGGGCGGGCTGGGGGCGGGGGGCTGCTGCGGTTCTGACTCCTGCTGCTCTCAGCAGGAGGGAGAGGAGAGCGGGAGAGGAGAGTTTCATCACTGCTGCTGTGTGGACCTGTGCAGAGAGAAATAAAAAGCTTGTGAAGCTTTGAGGGAAAAAAAAAATTCCGTTCTCTGCTGTCCTATATCCTATTATACTTTTATTATACAATTAAATACAATTTATTATATATTTAAACATTATATAATTAAACATTTCTATGGTATCAGTACTTGTATTGTTTTCTCCCTTTAATGAATTTTCATTCACAACTCACTTTGGATAAAACATCTCTTAAAGTCCCCCTGTGGTCAAATATTTTATCCCTTAAAACTTATCTTTGATCATCAAAATGACATATTTAAATGTTTTTTTCTTGTGAAAATAATTTTCTCATGCCTTAAAATAGCTTGAATGTAACTCTACACCCTTGCCTCATTTACTATACGCGGATCTATGAATATGCAAATTAGCCCCGCCTCCACTCAGTCACACCAGCCAGCGCCTCCTGATTCACTGAACTGTAGTAAACGCAAAACAATGGTATACACGGATAATGACTGATAAAACTATGTTTTTACTGGCGGACAACTACAGTGAATACTGTAACATTCGTTAAAGTTACTTACTTGACGATGTTGTGTCCTAAAATGCATTGAAAACTCAAATGCAGCCGTTTGTGATTCTTATTTCGGTGTTGATTAATGGATTGGCACATGGTTTGTCTAAAAGCATATTAAAAACACCACATAGGCAAATAAACATAAAAAACTTGATTTTCACTACAGGGGGACTTTAAATGAAAATTTGAAAACAAAATGTGTGTAGCATCTGTAGTTCATCCAAGAATAAGGATAGCTAGTATTCACTCACCCTCACATCGTTACCTACCCATATGACTTTGTTTTAGCCATACAATGAAGTCATATGAGTTTGGGACAACATTAAGTTGAGTAAAACATGACAGAATTGTAATTGTAATAGAAGTTCCCGAGGTGAATTATGTGCTGAAAACTAACGGTGGTGTACAGAGTTATATGCAATGCTCTGCTGATACACACAGACGAGTTGTTTCCACCTTTCTATATAGTCTGTTCATCTCAGATTTATAATGGATTTCTAGCCAGGCATCCTGATTCAACAAAGGTCTTGAAAATGCTGACACATCCTCCTTCAAGCTCACACATCCTACAGCCCAAAAAATTCAATGCAAAGTAGATGCAAGATGAGATAAATGTGACTCAAATCATGCTTAATGGGACACTGATTGTGATCAATAAAGTCAGCTGTAAAGTTGTCAAGGATTTAACTACTTATAATACAAGGTTGTTGTTGTGTGTGTTTGCTAGGGATATGACAGAAGCCAAATACCTTATTCGGAAAGTCATTGGTAATGGCTTCAAAACAAATAATGAATTCTATCAAAGAATGAGAAAAATATTTGGCAGACACATTCACTCCCCATGTTTGCTGGGTGACTAACAGGCTAACAGGTGAGCCAGAAATAGCACAATATTATACATCAATATCTAAAATTACTACGAGTGTGTGAAGTGAGTGTGAGTGTAAACCTTATGAATGAAATGAGCACGGCATGATGGCAAATCAAAAAGTCACGCTGTCCACTCTAAGAAATCAGAGCTAGCCAAGAGTAATATCATCTTGTAAAATGTACAGTGGTATAGAAAAGAATCACCCTTCTTTAAAATAATCACATTTTGTTGCTTTGTAGCCTGAGATGAAGACGGACACAGTTTTTGTTTTATTCAGCTGTATTTACTCAGTGCAACTTATAACATCCAAGCAGAAGATAAAACACCAACACGTCAGAAAAAAATAAAATAAAATTTAAAAAAACAGAATCACTGAGTTGGAAAAAGGATCACCCCACTCTTAAAAATGACTTGTAAACTCAATCAGGCGTAGCGAATCACCTTCTCAATGGCACACAAACGTTTGACTTTCAACTGTGATCAGCTGTGGTCATTTTGAATTGCTCAGCATGAAAAGAGCTTTCCTGGAGCATATCAGTCCTTGGTAGTGCAACTGAAGCAAACAATCAACTATGGGTGACAAGACACTGTCAAAAGATCTCTGGGATAAAGTTGTGTACAGACACAAGTCAGGAGATGGATACAAAAAATTTCAAAGGCTTTATCAATGCCTAGAAGCACAGTGAAATCTATTACTGAGAAGTGGGAGGTATTTGGTACAACACAGACACATCACAAATTATCCAAAAAATGTGGCTTGTATGGGAGGATTGCAAAAACTAAAAGCCACTCCTCAAGAACGGCCACATGCAGTCATGACTGAGATTTGCCAAAATGCACCTTGAAGATTCTGAGGCAGATGAGACTAAAACTGCATTATTTGGCCTCAACACCAAACCATATGACTGGCGGAAATCCAATACAGCTCACCATCTAAATAACACCGCTCCTACAGTAAAGTATGGAGGTGGTAATATCCTGTTATGGAGGTGTTTCTCTGCATCAGGGACTGGAGCACTTGTCAGAGGAAAATGAATGAGGCAAAATACCATCAAATTCTTGAGGAAAATCTGCTGCCCTCTGCCAGAAAGTTGTCAAAGGGAAGAAGATTTACCTTCCAACATGGCAATGACCCAAAAGAACACAGCAAAACTGACCACACAGTGGTTATAGGAGAAAAATGTGAATGTCCTGGCATGGCCTATATGCCCTATTCGGACAGTAATTGTTTCTCAGGGGGACATAAGGGATTTTCACCATTTACAGGGGGTAGTTGGTGATTTTAATGCAGTCCGAATCCAGGATGTCTGTGTTTTTCTCTCACCACCCGCGTAAAAATCCCCAGCCAAATTACCTACTGTTTTTTGACGAACACCAAGGTCGTGTGGTGATTTAATTGCCATCCGAATCCACATCTCTTGTGGGAGCTATCCACAGTTTTTAAAAGGAGATCAATCCAAAAGTCGTTTTGTAAATTTTTGTAAATCCTTTTTGACCACTGAAATGCACCATATGGTTGCACTTCGCGGTAATTTGTATCAGAAAAGTGGCATCTCGTGCATTAAAAATGGACACCTACATCACCGAAGTGCTAGAAAGTTTTTCATCAGCACTTCAATACAGCGACTGGGAGCTATCAAGAAGATGAAGAAACAGAAGAAAAACACAAACAATTCTGAAATGGGCCATTATCATGGCAGTGACAGGTAAGTTATACAGTACATTTTAAAAATATATTATATTAGGGCTATATTATATATAATTGATCATGTGACTGACTACGTAAGACACGCAGTTCCGGGTTTGTAGCATTACAAACTCAGACGTCCACCGCAAATTTATCTTCATCTGAAAGCAAGTGTTTAATCACTGAGGAGCTATGGAGATTTATTTTTTAAAGACGTCCCCATGAGAAACAATTACCGTCCGAATAGGGCTCTAGTCAGAGCCTATAAACCCCATTGAAAATCTGTGGAATGACTTGAAAACTGCAATCCACAAACGGGCACCATCAGATTTAACTGAACTTGAGCAGTTCTGCAAAGAAGAGTGGGCAAATATTGCAAAGTCTAGATGTGCAAAGTTAGTAGAGACATATCCCAACAGACTAAAGGCTGTAATTAAAGCAAAAGGTGGTTCAACAAAATACACAAGGGGGTGATCCTTTTTCCAAATCAGTGATTCTTTTTTTTTCTTCTCTCTGACATGTTTATTTTATATGTTTCACTTGGATGTTATAAGTTGCACTGAGTAAATACAACTGGATAAAACAAAAAC